CAGGAATACTACTGACGTTTCCTCACCAGGCTTCAGTTTGTATTACCTTAAGCAAATACTTACTACTGAAGCAAATGCCCAAGTCTCATTAAGTCAGGATATATGTAAAGGAGATATTCTGCTGCTAGTCTTGTATAAATTGCCAAAATACTTGAGGAGTTAATGCGCAGTTGATGTTCATTTTGATCTCCCATTTTTAATTTCCTATTTAGCTCTAATTCAAGAAAGTACTTAACCTTATGTTGTCCATCCATATTATGGACAAACTTAAATAGGATCTAATTTGGACTTAAGTGCAAGCTTATAGTGCAATACATGTTTCATTACGGTCCTAAATAAAGATTCTTCTTAAAATTGGGGCCTAAAATTGCTAGGATTTTTTTTTGTCTTACCTGTACAAAACCTCTATATTTTTATTTATTCTATAAAACATTCTTCTAACAAAAAAAAATATGCTTATTAACTGCTATTTTCTGTAAACATATAAGCAAAAATTATGGACTGGTAAAACCAGCTAGAGAATATTACAGGTGTTTGTTAGCTTTTCACTCGTGTTACCGCTATCGTAACCATATATTCTAATTTCTTTTTTGCTTGATATAACTGAGACTTTGCTTTACTGATCTACTTCATAAAACTTTCCAAACCTACACCCAGTCCTTTCTTTCTTTTTTAAGCAAAATTGAAGAGCACTGGGAAGTTAGTTTATACTGAATGACAGGTTGCCCCTACATCTTTATAGATGTAATGTAAACTAAAAGGGCAAGACTTGCAAAATGCTGTGAAGTCTGATATCAGAAGGTTTATGAAAAAAGATTTCATAAGTATTTTAAAGGTGATTTAGGTTGTGGCCTTGGTACATTATCCTATGCAGAAATGCATTGTCCTACACATTTTACATTATTTCAACATTATGGTATCGTCAAGAGAGGCTGTATGTTAACATGTCTCTAACAAATGCTCAGAACCACTCCCAGCCCCTGCCAAATTGAACTGAAACTAGCTGGTTAGTTGTTCTCAGGCTTGGATTTTTGTTGTTGAAAAAATGTGAGCATTTTTAAAATCCATTAGGTTGGTTTTGATTTCTGAGATAATAACAAAAATAGTTTTATGCTTTGGGATATTTCAATGAATAGAAAGAATCCAGAATATCACTGAAATATTTTTAAATTAAATTTGGCATGTGTATTCTGTAAGAAGTGTGTGCTTGGCAAAGTGTGGAAAATTCTGGAAATCATAATATGAATATAAAATCTACACAAATGGTCTATCTTATTAAACTTTTTTTTTACGTTAGGCACAGCGTTCTTATTTATGTGTATGCATATCTATATATGTTGATATTTACCTATGCTTTGAAATCAGCGTGCTTGTGTTTATTTGCATTATTACACATTTAAACAAATGCATTTAATGCATCTATTTGAATGTGATGCATTGTATACATGTGAGAACATTAGTGTTTTAATGAAAGAAACAAAAGACTAAACACATTATGGCTAAGATTTTCTTATTTACAAAAGTTATGTGATTAAAAGTTATGGTCCCCGCAGCATTTTAAATACAATTACAAAAGTATGAAAACCAAAATACTAGTCTACACTGTAAAGAAATTATTAAAGAACCATCATGCTCGTTATGGGGTTCATAAATTTAAATTTCCTACTGTGAGTATATGTAAAACCTCAACCATAACAATAATTCGGTTTTTTGCGTTTGATTTATAATTTTAGAGTGTATTGTGCATGTTGAAATGTGATTTAGAGGAAGAGGAATTATTCTGAGAAACAAACCAACTAATTAAGTAGGATCGTGTTTCTACATTGCCAAGTACAATACTTGTTCCTAAACACGTTATGAAGATGAAACATATTTATATCTACATGTATTTTATCTCAGGGAGTCAACTACTTTATGTCCAAGGGCATACTAGATGATTCGCCAAAAGAAATAGCTAAGTTTATCTTTTGCACAAGAACACTAAACTGGAAGAAGCTGAGAATCTACCTTGATGAAAGGTAATTTGAATTTCTCTTGTACATTTGAATTTCTCTTGAGACATTTCCTCAATGCACCACACCATTCAACAATGTTTGGCTTGTATTGATATAAATTTAAAGACATAAAAATGCAAGAAAAGGCAACTAAGTTAATGCTGCTGCTGAATCTGAACGGTTATTCAGTTCAAGTATTTATGTGACTGGAACAATCACTAAGAACCCCTGAAAATACTCCCTATAACTAGTAAATCTCACGTCCTGTGCTTTTTCTGCATTTTTGCAGTTCTGGGCATAAATGGTTTTGAAGTTATAGTGAGCATTTAAACTGCAGAGGGTAATCTTTGTGCTGTATGACATTCAGATTTTACAGATATTGTGCTGCTTTTGACGAGGTTTCTTTTTTTCCTATCTACTATGGATGTTAGTCAGAAAAAACAGTTATCCCTTTACCAAGTGATGATAGCTTTTCAACTAATCTTGGATGATCTGACCATTGTTTGGTTGTGTGATATTTCTCGAACGGACATCACACCCACCTCCTGAGATGCAGTGGAGCATCCTCATGGAGTCAGCATGAGCTGCAGCCGGGAACTGCCTGCTCTTCCACCTCCACGGTGCTTTCTCTTGTGCTGCGGGCTACCTTCAGGCTGGGATAGTACAGTATCAGGGAAGCGGAGCACCAACATATCCAAGAGGAGTTGAAAGAGGAGGAGAATAATGACTAGACCTAAATAGGAAGAGCAAAGGGACAGCAGCAGCGCTGCCAGCAGGAACCCTCTCCTGCTTTTCATCCTCCTCAGCCCGTACCACTAAAGGAATAAAAGGAGTAATTCTGTGGTGTTATCACCACTGACGGCCCTGTGCTGTAAAACTTTGGATTATCCATTTTTTTGGCAATAGAAAAAAATACAAAACCATTTAACAGACAAGATTGCAAGTTAATATCAGCAACCCCTACTGCCATTCGTTGTCCCTTCGTAAACAGAGTGTAATAAGGCACAAAAAATAAAAAATAGGTTTCTAAATTTTGAAACTCCCCTCTTAGTACTAAAATGTTTAATAGAAGGGATAAACATACCAGAGTATTCTTTGGTTCACTTCAAATTTGCTTCCAAATTTCCTTCAGATGTCTTTTGCACATCTGTTCGTGTAGGCTGCTCTGAATCCTTCAGATGTTTCTGTGTTCAGTGGGAAACACTTGAGAGCATTGCACCCTGATGGACTTTTCGTGAGCAGATTTTATCTAGCCGAAGCCTGTTTTTAACAAGATACTCCTGTACCAGCTTCTACTTAGGCACCAAAATGTGTGACACACATGAATCTATTCCCTTTACTGTCTTTTTTATGGCTTTGCCAGACAGTTTAAAGGAAGTGAAGCCTCTATATAGACTATGATTGAATATGCATATAAAGAAATTTAGAACACTGATTAATGTACATTTTTATAGTACTTGGCTACTACAGTAAGTGGCTGAAGAACAGGTGTTTGTATTACCTTTGTGCTAATTTTCTTTGTCTTTCAGTGAAAAAACAAAGTTCATAAACTATTCTAAAGCTTTCATTTTTATTTTTAAAACCTACATTTTTGTATTTAAACAGCAAAAAGAAACTTGTCTAATTATGTGGGATTTTATTCTACCAGGCGAGATGTTTTGGATGACCTTGTGACGCTGCACAACTTCAGAAATCAGTTCTTGCCAAATGCACTGAGAGAGTTCTTCAGACACATTCACGCTCCCGAGGAGCGTGGGGAGTACCTCGAGACTCTCATAACAAAGTTCTCTCACAGATTCTGTGCTTGTAACCCAGATTTGATGAGAGAGCTTGGCCTTAGCCCTGGTAAGCAAAAAAGAGCTTTGATTCAGTGGATCAGTCTTTGTATTTCTGGGTGATGCTACTGTTTTAAAATCAGCGCCTAAAGAAGTATTTCGGAAAGTACAAACATGGCTTGGGAAGGTTCAGTATACAGGCGTCAACCCACTCAGGTTGAAAAAAAAAACAAACCACAACACAAAAATAACCTCCAGGTTCTTTTCTTAGACCTAGCTGATAAGTGGGGTTTATGTTCATGTTATCTTTCCTTCACTTTTGTCTGTGCTTAAGCTCTGTAGTATCGCCAAGTTCCCTCTTGCAAAGACTTACGCGCTTAACATTTTACCCTGTGGATAGTCCCGCAGAAATGAGAGGGAATTTTGAGCCTCGCTCAAGTTAACAAGCGTTTCTGTTTGGCTGGGGGGGAGCCAGTTTTCAGCAGTGGGACAGCTTACATATTTAAAGATAAGCTTTAGCAGGACATTGGCCTTAGTTTACAAAAACTTCAAGAATCTGTTTAAAGGAATGTGCATAAAGCCCTTACTGACTTTTGGATAATGGAGAAATATCAAGAGATTTGTAAATGCTCGTTTGGCAATGCGCTGACATTATCACTTTGAAAATTGCTATATTAAATTTTATTTCACTGGGATACCCTTTTGAGTCATTATATATGTGTGTGTGTGTATATATATATAATTATAAGCCCAGATGATGAAAACTGTAAGGTTCTTGGACAGGGAACAATATTTTTAATGATCACAGTTTCCTTCTTAATTTGTTTTTATTTATTCTCTTTTGTCTAGATGCAGTTTATGTACTATGTTACTCTTTGATTCTACTTTCCATTGATCTAACAAGCCCTCACGTGAAGAACAAAATGTCAAAGAGGGAATTCATCCGAAATACACGACGAGCTGCACAGAATATTAGTGAAGATTTTGTAGGGCACCTTTATGACAACATCTACCTTATTGGCCACGTGGCTGCCTAAAAGCACAATTTGCTAGCACTTAAAATTTGTAATTTTCAAAACCTACATCAATTCAAGAAATTAATTATTTTGTAGAGATGGGGGTTATTTTAGTGCTGGTCATTCTAACCTCTGTATGCAATCAGAGTTTGTGTGCGTGTAAGTGTGTGTATGTGTAAACTACCTTTTCTATCTATTTACCATGGGAACGGAAGAATTGGGAGATTTGGTTTTCATCATTTTTTTAGTTTTGCACAAAACAATGCCATTAGTCTGACACAGCCGTTTACGAATGTTAAACTGACATTACAGTCTAAGCTGACAAAGTGGTGAACTTGTGCATTAGGTCTGCTTGAAACTTTAGTAAGTTCGTTCTTTTTAGATTACCATGTAATGTGTATATATTTAACTAAAGAGATTTCTAATCATAATTATTTTATTGGAAAATATTTTAACTAAAATTTCTCCTTTTAGCTCTTAAAATAGTGCTGTACTTCTTTCTTTTGCATTTTTTACCATGCTGACTACCTCAGATACCTAAATTAGAGAAACATTGGTCTGAATGCTACAATAAAGTTTATTCTAGGAGATGACAGAACACTTGTGAAATGTCTAAGCTGATACTTAATACTAGGTTGACTAACATGAATTAGCATATTGCCAATCTGCTCTTTACTCCATTTTAGAGAAGATGACCAGCTCTGTTTTGGATGAACCCTGATGTCATATAGGGATAGCCTATATGGTGCAGCTTACCCAAACAGTTTTAACCTATATTGCAGCCACTAGTTACTGGGGACGTGGGACAACTATAATCATCTATTCAGCGTGGTAAGCAATGAAAAATCTCCACCAGGAAAGCGGCTAACGTGTTGCTGCTCTCAGCTGCTTCCCTTGGTCTAGAAGTGTCGATGATGGAAATGCCCAGGCAAATACATACCAGATGACTCGTTGCTGAAGCTGTTAAAATCTGACTGCAAGATTAGAGCAGTGACTGTGCGGGACTGGAGAGCTGCCTCAGACTCAGACACCGAATTACTCTTTCCAAATCTGTCATGGAGCTAGATTTTAAATAGTTCTGGGTTTATGAAAATACTTCAAAAATGGTTTCGGTCAGGTTGTGTCTTACGTTTTCTGAACTGTGTAGAATATTAGCAGTGCAACTGCCGTGCATGTGCAGGAACCGAATGAGGAGCTGCCTGGTTTTTGTTCAGATAACTCGCAGAGCAGTGCTTTTCTTAAACTGACATGACATGTAGTTGAAATCAGAGCTGTTCCTGATTATGTTTGTTTACATAATATTCAGCTATCGCTAGCATCTGGATTCATTATGGTAACAAGCAGATTTATCCTTTTTCCTTACCACACCATCAGGTGAGGTAGGAAGATATTCTTTGTTCTGTTTTAAAAATTAATTTGATTTTTTTTACGTAGGAAGCCTACGGCAGAGCCAGGAATTGAATGCAGGTCATACTCCTCATAGGCACGCACTGTGCCCGCCCTGCTGCTTTCCCTTTGGCACCTGTGGGGTGTTACATTTCTCTTAGATACGAGAAGAGTGATGACAATGGCAGTCCACGTAAGGGCTACATAAATCACAGGGAGAAAAAAATGTAGCTACTGCTGCTATTTCAAGTGTTCAGTACGTTTTGTTTATAGCTCTGGTCCACATGCAAAAACGCACCCAGAAAAAGTTGTATTTATTATGTACCTTTAATCAAGCGTAAATGCCATTTGTGTCTGTGTAGCGCACACAGCCACAGCCAGGAGCCAGAAGTACTGCAGCTGTCTGCCAGACAGGTTTTGCAATATCACTCCCCTCTCTCAGGATAACTTCTCATCACTTCACCATGTGTCGTTTCATGTATTTCAGAAAGCCCAAGGATGCATTCTGCAGTGATCAATTAATCTCAAACACAAATAAGGAGTATACAGTATGTTGGGGAGCTTTGTTTAAAGCACAGGTATCTGATCCTGGGCTGGGGGGGGGTGGTGGAAAAAAAGGAGACATGTTGGCAAACTTTTAACATCATCTGTAAAACCAACAATACAGGATAAGCGTCTCTGTGCTCCTTAAAGTGATCTTACGTGAAGACCGCAGAATATGGCTTTCTAGAAAACACTCCTCAGAAATTACACACTTAAAAAGAAGAATTCAGTGAATTTTGAAATGACAACTAACCTTATCAGGAACTGTTTTTCTTCTCAAACCACAAATGCAGAGTGAGGCTTAATTCTCTTCTGACTGGTATTTATGTTGACATTAGTGATACTGGGTTTGATTTTGCACTGATACGAGAGTACAAATTGTTCATCTGCATTTCTCTTAATTTCCAGTTACTCTCGGTTCCCATCCTCAAACAGATACAGAACAAAGCCTCCAGGCAGAGAAGCACATGTCTTTTCTGGAATAGATGAGTACATCTATTAACAAGGTTTAGAAAGCTTCAAGGCTGGTGTAACAGCCAAGAAGATAAATTAGAAACAGGATGATATGGTTAAAAGTTTCCATAAGACGCAAGTCCCGGAGAAAAGAAAAGAAAACCAAACTCCAATCTCATACAGATAACGACATCTGATCTTCCCCAGAGGACTCTGACCAGTGTTAGATGGTTCATGCCCAACTCGTGCCGTACGTTACGTTACTAACGCGGAGCAGAACAGAAAAGAACAAACGCAGCACGCCAAATGTGAATTCCCTTAGAGGTAACCAAGAAACAAAAAATTACAATAGACATTTCTTCTGTCCTCTTTTCTTTTGAAGTTTGAGTCTTTCTCCAGAGTGGCAGAGAAGTAATTTTTTGCATTTTAAGAATCTAGACTTTTCACAAAGTTAGGCAATTTTTCTGTCTCAAAAGAAAAAAAAAACATCTTAGGCAGGTGTAACAATGCTTTTGCAAAGTGAGAAAGATAAATTTTGACTTCTCTGAGTCAGCCTCCAGAAGCCCTCTGGAAACAACGTTTTTGGCAGTGCCTTCTTCAATGCACTACCGGTGCCTCCACGTGCCTTTTAAAAGAAACTAGTGATGGATACTTCATTGATCCAGGTGTCACTGAATGATGTCATGTGGAAATAGCTACTTGAGCAAGCACTTCAAGATAGAGGATCCCACGCCTGATGATATGAGCACGATCATACTTGTAACTGCAAAGAGATTCCCCAGCTCCTGTGATTCCACCAGCGCACGTCCCTTGAGCTTTGGCGATGGGATGCTGCCTTCACACTGACTGTCCGCAGCACGGGAGGAAGAACGGAGCCTGCAGCGCAGCCCCTGCAAACACCAGTTAGGCTGTCCTAACAGACGCTGAAGTCGGGTTCTCAAGTGCTCACAGATGAGACAGAAGGACAGCTGTTCTTTGTTCACGTAGGGGAAATGAGTGTACCTCTGTCCACGTAAAGTGTCACATAATACAGCTCATTTCTGCCCATACTGAATTCTGAGGCTCTGACTGCATTTAGGCAAGGAATATGGCATATATTACATGTTCGAGTGGTTTAGTTATAGACAGCGATACTCCGATACTCTACATTTTCTCAAAACTATTTCTGTCTTGAATACTTTCCGTTCGTACTCTAAACAAGAGACTTACACAGCTTTGGCTTTTTAAAATAAATCAAAGCTACTTCAACATATAAAAGCCCAAACAATTGTAAGTTAGAGGCACGTTTGTCAATTTTGAAGCAGGCAAGAAATTCGCATTCAGGGGTGGGGGGTGGGGGGAAATCCATTTGTTCTCTACAACCTTTCCCTCCCAACCCCCACTCTGGAAAAAGAAAAAAGTATAAACACTTTCAAAACAGACATTTAGGAAAATAAGCTGTCTAGCTGAGCAAATAAACGTTTCTATTCCCTCTTCAGTATACTGCAGTTTATTAATGTTCTTTACATAAACAAATTTATCACCAGGAATTGCTCTCCGTTGAAGTGGTAATAGTTTTGTTCTCTGCGTAAGGTTGTCATTGTGCAATCTGGTATTTTTGATAGTTCTGTTTCTTGAAAACAAGTATTAAATTATTTTAAGCACTTAGGCAAAATTGAGGTATACCTACTTGATCATGTGAAAATGTCAAAATAGCAGTATTAAGTATTTAGAAAAGTCAGATTTACTTGCCTTATATTGGACTAGGATTTTTTTTTCTTTTCACATATTTCACGTAAGTATCAAAACTAATAAACATTAAGGCCGATGACTTGTTCTCTGCCATTGTAAAATCTACCACTCTAATCTCAAAAGCACTATTAAAATGGACAAAGGACAGACTCAAAGGATTTCCTGTGTCTCCCATAGGCACATCATGGTTTCATTTTGCCTTAAGGAGAAATAATATACAAACTTTTATAATCTACATATAATAGTGATTTTGGTAAGATTAACATTTTATGTGCTCTTCTAATATTATTTAGCAGATGTTAAAAGTTAAGACTTACCATACGACGTGTGTAATTCCATCATAACCAGATAGCTAGGAGTAGTTACAGAAACGAACGTGTATATAAAAAGCTTCAAAGAGGTCGCATCGTGCCTTCATCACTTCAGGGCTTTTGCTGACCGCAATGTTAGTAAATTTGCAGTTCTCCTTTCTCATTCACATGGGCAAGCTTAGAGAAGAGATGGATTAGAAAATATTTACACAGAATACTTCCATTCCCTATGTGAAGTTCTTCTTGCATTAAGAAGGAACTTTTTGTATTTACTTTATAATTTAGAAAAGCAAAAAACTACAGTTCATTGAAAGAATGAAAAGGCTCTAATCTTCAGATACGTCGCTCGCTCATAGCAGCTCATACAGAAAACGAGCAAAAAGTACTTTTCAGATTTCTAGCAATCCAACAAATGCGTTATTTTTTTAAGTTTAAAACCCCTACTTATTGAGTATGTGTACATGACAGAAATCAAGCCTATTTATGCGAAAGCAGCATGCTCAGGATACCAGTTCTTTTCAGAGAGAGTATTCATTTGTAAAAGTTAGCTTTCTTCTTGGCAGCATTGGAGAGGAATGTTGGATTTAATTTAAAATGATTAATGAGATTTTGTCAGACTCCCTGCCTTTACCACCACTGCAGTTTGTCAGCACAACAACCTGGGGAACCCGGACGCCGCTCTGTCGCCCAAAACAGCTTTCCAGGAAAAAATAAACCTGAGTAACTAGTGCCAGGTACACGTCAATGGTATTGTCTTTCAGCTGCTGAGAGTTTAACCCTGAAGTTGGGTCATTTACACGTTCTGAGGAAGTGAACCTCATTCGTTATCTCAATAGTCTGGTTTTGACAGTGGATACCGGTATAAACGCAAGTTTTCGGAGCAGGCGTAGCCTTTGTTATTAGCAGACGAGAAATTCTTTAAAAAGAAAAACAAAAATAATCAAAGCGCCTCCAGGTAAGTTTTTCTGGGGAAAGACCATCTACACAACCTGCCTCCTCTTTGGCTGCGTTCTGTTCCGTTCCGAGCTCGTCCTCTGAGCCCCGTGCACAGGGAGAGGCTG